CATGTGCTTCCAGAGTGAAAGATGAGTAATATGTGATTGGACCTTTAAACAAATATTATTGTGTGAATAATACTTTGTTGGATGGATTCATCCCTATTCTTTTGAAAAATGGTTGTTTTTCAGATCAATGTGTTTTTGTGTCTACGGGCCAAGAATGATGTTTAAGAATCACATTTTACATGCTTAGAAAAATATCCAAGTTCTCTGAGAATACTGTGGAATGCCTCATGATAACAACTTGACTGATTCTCACATGGTTGTTCAGTGCCTTCTCACTTTCATCTGAAATTCCCCAATAGCTGATGCAAACTGGGAGTCCAACTTGAGCAAAACAGTATGGGACTTGGCACAACCCCATTCCTGCAGCTTCAGTTGGTTTTGCTTGTCAAGGAGGACCGTTTTAAAGAGCATCTGCATCCATGCTGGAGGACAGCAACTGACCTGTGTAGAGGCAGCATGGCAGCCTCTGCAGGCGTCGTCACATGAATCGGTTTTGAACGCTCTCATCCATTTGTAGGTTTCCCAGCATGCCAGTTTCACCATCAAATTAATAGAGGCATTGGTGGCTTATTCAGATTTTCTCCTATGCAGTTGTCAACTAATAGTCAAATGTGAACAGTCTTGAAGCTTGACCCTTCTCTCTCCTGGTACATGAGTCTCACCCAAGAAAAGAGCAGGCCTGCTGGATTGCATGATATTGATTATCTTTGAAACGTGGCCTTCAGATAGTACTAGATTGTAACAAAAGTTTTTGTGCATAAATACAAAATTTATTTAACAATGAATTAAACAACAATAAAAAAGATTATTCTTTGAAATAAAGCCCATCATTTTCTATGACTGCGACCCAACTTTCCGTAAGTAGTCCAATTTGGTGGCAGTACCAATCCTTGGATTTGGAGACAAAAACCTCTCAACATGCCTCCTTGACATCTTAAAAATTGCCATCTCTGCACTCAATCCTTTTTTCCAGTGATGAACAGTCCGTGAACCACTATTTTTTTTACATTCATTCTGAATGCTGTAATTTTTATATTAAATTTAGTGATAAAAAAACATTATATATTTATATGTGGCATAAAACGTGCTTCGAAATGATACCAAATATGTATATGTAACAAATTTATTTTGGAAAATGATGCTGAAATAAATTTTTTATTTTCCCACAAAAACTTTTGTTACAACCTAGTATATGCAGAAAATGGGATGAATCTGTTGCATTTTTCCTATAGGAGATGCAGAGAGATGAGTTGCCTTAACAACCTATTTATCAAGCTATTTTTGTGAAATTTAGAGCTAGCATACAGTATCGCTCTTGTTACATGGCTGTATCAGTTGTTATGATTTAGTGATCATGCTTTTGTGAGGCAAAACTTAATGACTGTACACTTTTATGCACCTGCCATTCCTCACATCTTGTGGAAAAGGCTTAGCCAAGTTTTTTCTTCTATTATTAAAGCCAAGGTTTCTTGCACAGATGGTGGAGGTAGATGGTGAGCGCCCATGGAAGGGGAATGCACGAGAGGATTCAAGCATTCATGATTAGAGGTTGCAGCATTTTTCTTCAGAGGGATGTCATTTGGTGCTTCTGTGCCCCTAAAAGAGAAAAACTAAGTAGCTGAATGCTAATGGAGGAGGAGAATATCTCAGAGGATGCATCTCAACCGCCACAGTAGCCCCTCTGTCAAATGTGACTGTCATTGCACAGTCGTCACAGAAACAAGTTCCATTTCTTTTTAAAGTCTAAGTGTACTTCATCTTGATTGATCATCTGCTGTTAGGCATATGCTGGCATTTTGAGTTCATGTGAATTATGTGAAGCCATTATCATTGATGGTTTCACTCTCATTGTCCATTGTGTAATATTGGTTTTTTTAGTCAATTGTGTCACAGTGTGCTGTATGGGAGCGTCAAATGTGACAGATGCACATGTTATACCGTACCTGTTAAGAGTAATGCTTTCTAGTTATTAGGTTGGTGCAAAAATAATTGCGGTTTTTAACCATCAACTTTGAAGCAATATATCTCAGCTTAGAATAACATTTATTAATCGAAATAGGAACCATTCTAATGGTTCTTATAATGGTCTACGCATTTTTGCCAACAAGAAACAAGTCTATTTATTCCATTAGCATAGAATTCTGGAGTCCTGGAACCGATGAATTCTTCAAAGGCGTTTTGAGCTGCTGCTTGGTTGTTAAAAACTTTCTCTTGCAGGAAGTTTTCGAGTTGCTTGAAAAAGTGGTAGTCAGTCGGAGAGAGGTCTGGTGAGTAAGCTGGGTGAGGTAGAGTTTCGTAGCCCAATTCGTTCAATTTCTGCAGTGTCATTTGCGAGACATGCGGTCGGGCGTTGTCATGGAGAAGAATTGGTCCTTTTCGATTGACCAATGTTGGACGTAAACGTTGCAGTTCTTGGTGCATTTTGACGATTTCCTGGCAATACTCCTCTGATGTGATGGTTTCGCTAGGATTCAAGAAATTGTAGTGGATGATTCCACTTGCCGACCACCAAACAGTGACCATAACCTTCTTTTGATGCAGCTTCGGTTTGGGGAAGTGTTTTGGTGCTTCACCTCGATCCAGCCACTGCGCGGAACGCCGTCAGTTGTCGTAGACAATCCATTTTTCGTCGCATGTCACAATGCGATCAAGAAATGGATCGTTTTTGTTGCGCAGAAGAAGCGTAGAGCAGACTTCTTAACGGCGAATTTTTTCAATTTTGGTTCAGCTCATGCGGCACCCATTTGTCGAGCTTTTTTCATTTTCCAATTGAGTGCAAATGTCGAACAACTGTTGAATGGTCAACGTTTAGTTCTTCTGCAATCTCTCGAGTTGTTTTGCGTGGGTCCGCTTCAATAATGGCCCTCAATTGGTTGTCGTCAATCGCAGAAGGACATCCGCGACCCTCCTCATCTTCAAGGCTCCGTTACAAAATTTTTGGAACCAATGTTGAGCTGTACGTTCTTTGACGGTCCCCTGGCCAAATGCTTGGTTGATATTGCGAGCAGTTTCCGCTGCTTTACGTCCCATTTTGAACTCATACAAAAGAATCGCTCGAATTTGCTTTTTTTCCATCTTTAATTGTGACAGCCTAAAATAAACAAGAATAAACAGCGAAAACAAACCATTAGCATACATCAGTAGAGCGAATTTCATGCTTTAAAATGGTATATTACATGAACATAGTTAAATAAAAGTTTATTCCAAAATGAGCATCAAAGTTTCAAATGACAAAAACCGCAATTATTTTTGCACCAACCTAATACATCTGCAAAATGTGTAGCTCCATGTGCTTTTACATGTGATGCTTCTCTTGCAAATAATATTATATTTCAGTTCCTGATATGTCAGGGTTAGTCATAGGAATATGCTACCACCAACCATTTGAGGCATTATGCTAGATTCAACATTTGAAAAAAAATGATTTTGGGTCTCCCTAACCCTCAACTGGTATCCTTGTTTTTATTTTCCATTGTGTGTCTGGTATCATTGACTGGAATTGACCCCAGCAATAAAAACCACAATAAAATTATGTTTTTTGTGATTATAAGAAATTTCTCATGGCTGTTTCATGGCTAACTTCATTTCATTGAAGAGTGATAGTATATTCCTAGGGCCAACCCTGACATGTTGATATTAATTATATTAGTTGTATTAGTAGCATTAGTAGCACTGTATGCAAAAGTACCTGAAGCTGCAAATAGTCACAGTCAAATATCATCCATACCTATTTTGAAATTACATTTTTTCAAGAATCATTTCAGCTGATTGTGGATGAGTCTCTCAACTGAGCCTTGCAGAAGTAGGGCCAAAGCAAGGAAGGAAGGGAAGGTGAAACTGACAGGAACAGAGGCTCTGTGGGACAGATGCTCCCTGGCTCCCCACACGTGCAGTGGCAGGCAGTGGGATCTGAAGCTGGTCAGGTTAGTGTTTCAGTTTGCTTTCTATGCAGCACAAGAAGAGATTTTGTACTGTTTCCTTTTTAGGTTACATTAGGTCAGGTCAGGATTGGTTTGATATTAATGGCACAGTTAAAGGAACATTTTCTTGCCAACCCCTCTTGGAGTTACCCAGAGTCAACTAAGTTTGAAACTGTTGCCACTTTCTTTATAAATGTTCCAGGTCACATTATTTTGATGTCTTTGATGACTTGACACATTTATGAGAGTAACTCATTGATAATTTGCAAAAAATTGGATTTTTTTTTTAAATGGGATTTTATATGGACATGCTTTTGTACAATTGTATTGTCAGATTACTGTCAGTAGCATAATTTCGCTGTGTGTCAATTTTTGCTTGGATAGTGTAATGAAAGTGCTTACTTGATTATGTTGGCTGTCTAACATGCTGCTCCCTTGTCCCTTCTCAGAAGAAAATACCAAAGCTCAATAAAATCTGTTTACATGTTACCTAGAAATATACAGCAATCATGCAGTTTCTACTGGTCCTCTCACACCACAGAACATTCAGATGTCTCGGGAATCCCGTCACTTCGACAGAATGTGCAACCGAACTCTGAGCTCGGTGTGGAGTCAGTTGGGAAATCTTCCAAGCATGAAGGAGGCCAAGCTCCTGCAATGTACTAAGTCACTCTGAAGGAATCACCTGTGGGAGGAATGGAGGAGGAGCATCCAGTCATCAATGAAACATAAATGGGCATCATCACACCCAGTCTGATCATGCTGGGGTTTCTTCACTAGGGCTTGTAAGTCCTGTTTCTTTATGATGGCAGTGTTTTTTGGGAAGGGGATGGAAGGTTTGATGGTCTGCCTGTTGACCTGTTGAATCGGCTCATACTGGTTGCATGCCATGTCACAGAAGAACATTTAATGCAGCTCAAATGAGACAAAAGTAATGGTGAGCATTTGGTAGGGAACATTGCATTCCTCATATCCGTACCAGTGCTGACCCCAATGCACTTGGGAATTGTGCAACCTCATTCATTTATATGATTGTACCAGAGTCCTCCTAGTCCTACAACTTCTGCGGTAGCAAAAATACAACAAAAACATGATACAAGGTAATCTAGGCCTTGCCCACATAGTAGGAGTAGTGGTGGCATTATATCTGTCCTTTGCTGAAAAAGTATGCACGGCTTTAACAGTATTTGCTTGTGCTCACTAACCATTGAGCTCTGAGTATTTGCCAAGTCAGGAATATGCCTAATTAGGTTTTCTTCATGTCTTATGTAAAGTTCAGATATCCATAGGCAAGAAAAGACTGATTCCATTGTGCATGTCATGCTGTCTCTGAAAAACATCAAAGATATGCCGAAGCTAATGCTGCAGCAAAGTGATGGGTAAAGGAAAAGCTCCAAGAAGGTCATAGAGAGTGTAACACAATATGTGTCACACCTTCTTGGAACATGCTGGCAAAACACTTGATCTTGAGAAATGTGACAAATCTTGAAGTCAAGTTTTCCACCAGTTTTGATGAAGTGCTGATTTAATATACTATAGGCCACACCATAGACACAGTATACTATGTATAACTAGATTGGATAGTCTAGGTAGATACTGGGAGGAACCCTGGGACATTTTGATGTCATGTTTTTGGGTCAAAGACAGTCCACACCCATATGTCCCATACAAACTTCCCACTCACATCCTCTGTCCATGCAACATATGTCCACCCAGTATCTTTTAGACCTCATGCCTCTATCCAGAACTTCGAGTCCACCAAGCTTCACCTTTAACGAGCAACTACTTTCTGCAGTCCTACAAGTGAGGCAAAAAGCTTAAACCTTCTATTAGTGATATTCCATACTCATGAGTTTCTGGCATCAATTTCCATGACTGTTAATCCAACCTTGCAATGTTTCCAATCCTGGGCAACAGAAGCTAAGTGTGTGGGGTGTTGAGCAACTTGTAGCAAAGCTGCATGACACAGCCTTTCTGCCTTGCACAATGTCTGCCAACTGGCCCTTTGCCAGTCCTGCTGGTCTGAGAAACTCTCTTTGCTGGTCTCTCAGAGGCATGTGGCAAACTTACCCAAACCACTGGACTGGATATCTCTTGATCTGGAGAAATAGCCACTAATCCTGAAGACCCTCACATATGGTGGCAATTGGTATCATATTACAAGGTCTTATGCCAGCCTGTTGATATTAGAACCTTCTGGGCAGCTTCTGGCTGTGATCTGTTTCCTCTGGCTGTGAATCACTCCCCCTAAGTTCAAGGCCATGGTTAAGGATTGCAGGAAAAAAAAAAAAACACTGTAAAACAAAAAGAAAGAGACTTGTGCCTCTTTGAAGGATATCCCTTTTGGGAATCACTGTCCACCAGATTCTGCAAACCTGTGGAAGCCCTGAAGATGCGATTGTCTATATATTTTGCATATCACCCATTGCTTGAGAAGAAGAGATCAATTTGCTCCACTCTAACTGTTTCAATGGGCCCCTTCACTTGGCATTTAGTGGGCACTATGGGGTACTTTTTGAGCATATAACCTGGGATTTGGGGGGATACTAGTCTCATTTCTGCAGAAAAACTATGAGTTCAACTGATTCATCATGCTGTATAGCTCATGACTAGACTGAGTCAATAAAACAGCATCACCACCCAAGAGATGTAACTTTATTGGTGATGAACCACTGATGATGATTCCTGTGCAGCCCAGGCTATCTATACAGATCTTGTCCATGTAGGTAAGGAACAGGAAAGGAGAGTGAATGCAATCTTAGTACATCCCAACACATCCTGACAAAACCTATACTCATCCCCCTACTAGAACTCAACTCCTGGAATCATTGTATCAGGATTGAATGGTCCATAGAAGCTAACTATTAATCCATAACTGCCCACAGCTTCCATAATGGATCATGCTTACAGGCCTTTCAAGATCCACAAGGCGCACGTAGAACTATTTCACATCCCCTCTTAATGTTTCCAAGAATCTGGTGAAAATCGCTGCTCCATCGTGCTGCACCTCCCATGAAAGTCAGTCTTTTCTAAACTTCACAAGTAGGTGGACACTTGACACAATGAAGCCCAGGTTAGACATCTTCACATGCAATCAGTCTCAAGAAATATACTGTTTCCAGATAAACAAAAGACGACTGCTTCATGTCCATTCAACAAACTTTCTACACTAATTTTTCTGTGATAAGTTGAACTGATAGTCATGTCAAATGACTTTCTCCCTGAACCACAGATATTTGGACTCTTGCATCACCTTAAAACAACGTTGCCAACAAAATGCACACATCTAAACAATGCACCTATGCTATTTTTTTTATGCTATTGACACATGCAATATAAACTTTGAACTCTGAAATGAAGAAGTCCAGAAAGGGGCTTTACAGTTTAACTAAGAATTTCAATTACTATGGTGAGTAGTTTACCTGAAAGAGCAAATAACATATTTCATTGCAGCAAACAAAATGTATTCACACTGCAATTAAATTATCCTCAAATTATCTTCACCACTATTGGTATCAGAAATCGCAACATCTATACAATCTAAATTTTCATGCAATACGCCTTTTGGAATTATTGGATGTTGAACTTTTCTTAATGCATCTCATCCCCTTTCTTCCTCTCTGAACAGCCAAATTTCCTCTCTAAAACTCTTAAGTTCAGCTTTCTCCTGTGACCTTGACACTGATGAATAAAGTGTAAACCAACTTTGTGAATAAAGCCTTGTGAAGTAGAGACCAGATTTTTCCTACAAAGACAGTTTCCCTTTCCCCCATAATTTTTGCTCTGACTTGAACTGGCAACGAAAGGCAACTCGCTCGATCAAAGTAGTTAAGAAAAGTGGGTTTAGGCATAGATATCGATCGAAAGGAATACCAAAACGTTCAAGTTAGGCCTGCATGAGTCCATATTCTGTGGACATAGAGTTATCTTAAGTATCTCTTGGACGACAAGTCCATATGACTGCTTTGGCCTGGGCCCTTTGCAAAAAGGCTAAACATTAAGACGATGCCACATATACAGAAGACCTTGGCCAGGTTTTATGTAACGTTAGTGAAGAGCTAGAGTTATTCATCGGGCACACAACCATAGGCCTTCACTTTTGTTTAACATAATTAAGCATTTTCCTGACGTGACGTGTGCATAGTGCTCAAAGTTTGGTGAGTAAACACAATAATGTTTTTGCCGTGTTGACTTGTTTAGCAAAGGACAGATAGACTATAATACTATCACAGTTCTTACTACGCAGGCGAGCCCTGCATTACCTTGTAACGTTTCTTATGAACGCTAGTGAAATCACAACCAGAAGCTCTCAATTTGTTGTTAGTATTAACTGAAAATCCTTGGAAATTTGGGTGATGTTGCTTCATAGGGAACACTACAGCGAAAAAGCCTAAGTTTACCCTTACAAGGCATTCTGCAGCAAAACATTGCTGCAGTGGAACTCCCTGCAATCACTCGCTACTGCTAGAGCATTCATTTCTGGATTTCGATGCGGTGATTTTCAGATTGAAGAATTTCATGTGAAAGAAAGGAAATTTTCATTTTCCGTGGAACGCTGAAAGTGAGTTTAAAACGATCAAAAACCGGATTGCAAAAGGTATGGTTAGCTGACATTTAGCACAAAATTCGTCATCATTTGGCAAAAATTAAGGTCACATTTGCAATATCTGCAAGAGATTCCGTGCAGTCCTCAAGAAACGTTCACGAAACAAAGCGTTCCATCCAAGTTTAATGTTCTACTCAACAAAAAGAAGGGGGAAAAATCCATAAACTGATGCCGGTGGCTTTTTATGCATGACTCTCCTGCTTCTAAGACGTTCTGAGATAGCCAATAATGTCCTGGAGAGGATAGGAGACTTTGGAGATAAGCCGAGATTTAGTACACCATTTCATGCTTCAGTGCAAGGTAAGGTCCACTAAGTCGCCGAACTCCGTCAAGAACACATCCGAATGACCATCAGGCAGGAAGTGTAGGTGTTGCCGTCGCACTCAATTTCACCCATTGCATCTTCTCTGAAGAACTTGTCCAGGCGACAAGAAAGACGAAGAAGGTGACAGCGAAAAGGATGCTTGGCCGCCTCACAGAGGTCTCAGTGGCATTCTCATGTGCTTGCCGAATCATCTCATCGTGCCATATTTTAGAAGAATGGTGATGGGATTCTTGGAAGAATAAGGACCTGCGATGGAATCCTGGTGTTGGCGGAATTTCTTCACAAAGGACACTACCTGGGTGATAATTTCCGATTTTGACCAAACTTAAATCATTGAAAGCACTCTCAAAACGAAGTCACATGGCACAAAAACCTGCGGCAAGGAAATAGGTCTAGGCTCTTAACTGGCCTTCAGATTTTCCACTCGGACTCAATTCTCGATTACAAATCCTTTTTTTTCTCTATTAGAGTTCCTTCCCCATTTCTCTAGTGATCCCCGTTCTTTAGATCTGATCACAGACGAGAATCATCAAAATGGTACCAATTAACATGTAAAATGTGCTGAAGTTGCTCAATGAAGCATATGGAGCGAGCAGAGATCCAGAGACACTAATCAATTCCTATGAGATCGTGCTGGAGGATCACGTTCAAGGTAGGTCTTTTTAAACCTAGAAGTGCCAGACGCAGCATGGTGGCCTACCAACATCGATTTTATTGACAGTTGGCATTTCTAAGAGTTAATCACACCCTCCTTTACCACATTTCACAATTACGATTATCTGGTGTAAATGGTTTTTCTGCGTTCCAGTATCTTACACGCAGGGTTGCTATGAAGTCACCACCCTATTTTGATTTCCCACAACTTTTCAAGGAGCAGCCAGATGCAACTGATATTTGAAAAAGAGGTTCATGAATTCAATATAATTATTTGCATACAGCAAGATGCGAATGCCTGAAGTGGGCGTTATAGTCTACTGCCAGTTACTTGCGACTGGATTTTTTAATTAGGAAGAAACATACCGCTGAGGGCCATACGAGGTATTTCATTTTGTCAAACAGCTGTGTCCTAGAGTCCTTTAAAAAGATGTGGTAAAATGAAGTTTTACGTTGACTCATAACCATCCAACTATATTTGATCATAACTTTGTCAGGTGCAGCTGATGTTCGACCAAGATATTTATTGGCCTCTCTTTGCCCCCCTTCCCTTTGCACATGTCTGTACATGCTGACAAGAGACGCATAGGGCGCTATTAAAGGATAGATATGTATGGAAAATGGGTATATGCTTAAAAAATAAACTTCTTAGCATGCACAACATTCCAGGCGCGATAGGTTTTTTTCTCTCGAAATTGCAAAAACGAATGATTATCGTTCCGAACAAATGCTACCACGATGGTCGGTGAACGTATTCCATAAATTGACGTCATGTGACTTTAGCCCCTCCATCAATATGTAAAGGTCATTTTTGCATATAAATTTTAAAAAAAATGAAAAAATTGCTGAAGCAGAGAAAAATAATTTACACCAGGTAATCACAATTGTGATACAAAAGGAGGTAGCAATTAAAGAAAGAACTACCTTGAAGGTGATTCCCCAGCTCGATTTCATGCGAAATGATTAATGTCTTCGGATCCCTGCATACTCCATATGCTTTATTGAGCAACTTCAGCACATTTTGCTAGTTAATTGGCTACATTTTGATGATGTTCGTCTGTGATCAGATCTAAAGAACGGGGATCACCGGAGAAATGGGGGAGGAACTCTACAAGAATAAGAGAAAAAGAGAATATGTAATCGGGAACTGAGTACTAGTGAATATTTAAAAAGACTAATTATAAACGTACACCTGTTCCTTGACCGAAAGTTTTAGTGCAATGTGACTTCGTTTTAAGAGCCCTTTCAATAACTGAAGTCAGGTCAAAATGGTAAATTATACCTTGTGTAGTGTTCCATTATCATAGCTTTTTTTTGCATGTTTCAATGAACTATGAAAATATAGATTTTCAATCATATGTTATTCCACTGATTCAATAGGTGACAGGGTCGTAAAATTCTAATTAATCATCATTTTAGTAAAAATTTCTTGATTATGAAGTCTTTTGTCACCATCTTGTGATGCAAAGGCGAAATGTCTATTTCCTACTACTATTGACATATCTATTCTCCTACATTACGCGTATTCATGTTACAGAATTGGCGGTATCACATGAGAACCAGAAATTGGATGGAATTTAGAAAAAATTTCGTTTACTCCTCCATACAAAAAAATTGTTACCTTTTCTGCTGCCGTGCATCGGAATCCAGGTGTTGGCGAAAATTTCCGGGTTTGTGTGGATAATTCCCAATCACGCTATAGAAATTTCAAATGTCAACATTCTACTTCCGCTAATCGTCCAGTTTACAATGAAAGCAAAGTATACGGAATATGATGGAAAACTACTTTTCACAAAAATTTTCAAATTATCAGTCCATTTTTCTACAACTAAGGGTTTAAGTATGAAAAGTCGATTTTCTGATGCCGCCCCCAACATTTGCTCATGAAGTGATAGTGTTCTCAGTTCCCGAAGAAGTACTGATGCTAGTAGATACTTCCGGGAAATTAGACATTCTCCGTAGCTCGCGATAGAAGTATACAATGTAGATTTTCTGGTACCGATCATCTCCCTAGCTAAAAGAATGATGGAGATGGAGAAAAAACTCACACAAATCCAAAAGACGACTTAATTCACGGAATCGGATGAAAACCTGGTTAACCTGGTTTTCCAGGAATTTTCCAGAGCCTCAGTCGATTACCCATCTCCTTGTGAAAGAATTGTCGGTGGATTTTCTGCAGCCGTTCTTCGCACCGATCCTAATAATGAAAAGGTAGATAGATTCAAATGAAATCCTGGTTTGGCCGGAAGTTTCCGTCGCCTCAGTCGACGTTACGGCGACGTCTCCATGTAAAATTATGAAATTTCAATTTTTTGGTAACGTTCTTCAATTTCCATAGAGTCAGTCGACTTTACCGCATTTCTATGTATGAAATGTCGATTTTCTGCAGAATTTCCTCGCACAGATCGAGATGAAGGCTAAGTTTGCGGAATCGAGTGGAATCCAGGTTTTGCCAGGAAATTTCCGTAGCCTAAGTCGACTTATCCGCATCTCTCTGTAAAAGCATGAAATGTCGATTTTCTGCAGCCGTTCCTTGCACATATTCAAAGAACGTCCAAGTTCACTGAATCGGATAGAATCCTGGTTTTGTCGAAAATTACAGTAGCCGCGGTCGACTTTTTCGTATCTCTCTTTAAAAGCATGAAATATCCATTTTCTGCTTCTGTACCTCGAACATTTCCAGATTTAAGCAAAGTTCGCGGAACCGAGTGGAATCCTTGTTTTGCCGGTAATTTCCGTTGTCTCAGTCGACTTTTCTGTATTTCTCTGCAAAAGCATGAAATGTCGATTTTCTGCTGCCGTTCTTTGCACAGATCTCGATGACGACGAAGTTGAAAAAATCTGATTGAATCCTGGTTTTGTCTAAAAATTTCCGTAGCCGCTGTCGACTTATCCGCATTCCTCCTTGAAAGCAGGAAATGTTGATTTTCTGCTGTGGTTCCTCGCACTGATCCACTATCTCCAGATCCCCGACCCCGCATCGGAACTCCAATGGATCATCGACGAACTCCAAAAAGCCGAGTCCCGAGGCGACAAGGTCCACATCATCGGCCACATCCCCCCCGGCTACCCCGACTGCCTCCCCACGTGGAGCCGCAACTTTCGCCGGATCGTCCAAAGGTTCCAACCGGTGACGCCTTCGAGGAAGAACTCCGAATCGAACCACGCACGCAGACCCTATTCTGATTTCGTGACTCCAGGTTCAACGAGAC